GAAGCAGGCCTGGTGCTTTCTTTACACCCTGAGGGGGTTCCTGCTCTCTCTGAGGGCACGAGGCAAACAGGCAGAGTAACTCTTAATTTGCTCTCAACAAAAGGGTCCTTGACCCACGTAATGTAATTGCCCATGTTTGCCGAGGGACCTGTCTTTGAGCTGGGTCAACCCGCTGTACATCAGGAGGGACCTGCTTGGGGCCTGCCAGACCTGGGGCCGCGGAAAGGAACCAGCCTTTTCGTGAGGCTCGCTCACTGTGCGAAGTCCAAATAAACAGTTGCCTCGGAGTTTTTTGAAACCCTGGGTCTTAGAAGAGATCTGCTGCTTTGAAGATGTTTTGCATCCAAGGGCGCTGTTCAGAACATCCGCCCCTGCCCAGACTTGTCCCACTGATTCACTATCTGCCTCTCTCCCTTTGTACTCGCGGGGCCACAGAATAGGAGCGGGAAGGCGTTTAAGAAGGGAACACAAAGAGGACACCGCTCCTCTGTAAAGCCCCCTGCTGATAACTTGATGGCTGGAAAATGCCTGTTTAACACCGCGAATAGGAAATCGGTTCCAGCCCTAAGGCTTTTGTCTAGCCCACAGTTAACGACAAACCTGTTCTTCCTTCCAGCTGAATATGTGTTTTTCAATGTTCCCTGGTTATACCCGATCCACAGTTCGTGCTTCAGGGTAAGTGCATTCATTCGCCTGTGATCCAGTCTATAGAAAGGGGAGGATATTCGTCCATGGGGCGCAGCAATAAACCCGGGCCCTGTTTTGACCAAGCCACAGGGTGGCCCAGGGCCAAAGTCACTGGACCTTCATGCCGTCCCATTCCCTCACTGGACAATGGAGATAACGGCTCATTTTTTCAAAAGCCTTGGGGCCCACGTGTCATTTTAGAGCAATTAAAAACCTACTCGCTTTGCCCGTAGAGAGTCCGGCGCCGTGGTCCTGTCGCTGCAGACCACCTTCTCCCTGGCCTCCAACGTGACGCTGTTTGACCTGGCCGACGGGATGCAGAGGTGTGCCAACTCCTGCAGGTCCTCTGCTGAGGTCTGCCAGCTCTTGGGATCGCAGAGGCGCATCTTTAGAGGTGAGAGAACGGCCCTCTGGGATGACCCCCTCCCCCATACGGTGAGGCACACACCTGGGATAGAAATGGAAGGCAATTGGGGCTCAAGTTCAAGAAAGCTCGTCACAGAGCCAAGCTATCTTTGAAGCAGGTGTTAAGTGAAGGACCTTCGTGTCTGTGGAGCTTTGTACATGCAGGCGTGCACATGCACAGTCTTTTTTTAAAAAAAAATATTTTTATTGATTTCAGAGAGGAAGGGAGAGGGAGAGATAGAAACATCAATGATGAGAGAGTATCCATTGATTGGTTGGCTCCTGCATGCCCCCTACTGGAGATCAAGCCCACAACCCAGGCATGTGCCCTTGACTGGAATCAAACCTGGGACCCTTCAGTCCGAAGGCCGACGCTCTATCCGTTGAGCCAAACCAGCTAGGGCACACACGCACAGTCTTGAAGTCGCCTGGTCTTTGGCCTGCTGCCCCTTCTACTCCTACACGGGAGCTGATGTAATGAAGCAGAAACCACTCTTCTTTCTCTTGAAAAACTCCTACTCTCTCTGGGGAGGCAGACGTTCACACAGAATGTGCCTGCTTGTCAATACCCCAAACTGTCGTGATGATGTACCATTAAGTAACAGTAGCCCGGGCAGTGTGACCTGCCCTGTGTGTTGGTTTGCAGATTACCAGTGCCCAGACACAAGACCAGACCACGGTCGCCAGCTGCCCAGTGTCAGTCAGGATAATCTCCCCGTTCTTGTTCTGGCTTTATCTGTTTTGTCAAAAGCTGCTGCGGTGCATCTAGGGGAAAGCAGATGAAATGAGGGATTAGAGACAAGTTCACATTTGGGTCTTAGAGGGAGGTGTTGCCTCTGGGATGGGAAAACGGCTGGAATCAAACGGCTTCCTCGCAAAGGGGCTTGTCCCTGCTGCCGTCTCCTCAGTGATCAAAGCGGCTCGGCCAAGCTCATTCCCTGCACGGTTAGGAGGTGGCGTCTGGGTGGGCCTTCCACCTGGGCCCCGACGCTGGACCTAAGTTGTAGGTGGCAGTTGCTGTCATTCAGCATCACTGGGGCGTTAGCTTAAAACTTCATGTCCCAGGGGACTGACTGCTCTAAACTCTGAGTCGAGAGCTCTTTGGTTTTGCTCTGTTTGTTTTTGTGATTCAGGGGCCCCCATTTGGCCTCCGCGGCGAGTAGGAAGGGGACCTTTCAATTCAGTCAACACTTACCGAGTGCATCCTAGGTGGTCAGCGTGGTGTGAGGTTATGTTTTGTCCCCAGTAAATGCATTGCATGCCTTGCAAATCAAGTGGCCAGATCCTTGGCTTCGTAAGGTCCTGTTCAGAGCAGTCCTGCCCCCTCTCTTGCTCCCATTCTTCCAGCGTGGATGTGTGTGGACCATGGGAAAGCACCTGTTTCCTTATTGGGGCCCCATTCTTCTTTTTTATTTTTTTAGGACTTTATTTTTTTTAGAGCAGTGTTAGGTTCACTGCAAAGTTGAGAATAAGATACAGAAATATCCCACATCCCCCCACATCCCCACACATGCTGGTCCCCATACTTCGTCTCTCTTTCCAGAGCTTGTGAAAACAGAGACAGCCAGGCATCTTGGCTCAATGCGGGCTCACATCTCTGTTCTTAATCCCAGGGCTACTCCAGGTTTTGCCAACGCACCCAGCGTGATCTATCACCCTCCTTTCTGAGCGCTAGGGAGGCAGGCGTGATGGGCGGGAGTTCTCAGGCTCTGCCATCTGGGTATTTCCAACATCTGGGCAGCACCGACTACTCTGGACGCGGCCATGGGAAAGGCGAGCTTTGACCCTTCAGTTCACAAAATACCTACTTCCTCTCCTTTCGGAACCCTGCAGCTCTCGTGTCTCCAGAGGTTTAGAATCCTTGGAAATCCCCCTGGCAGGTCTCAGCCTTAGATCTACATAAGTTCTCATTGTCTGTCCGGCGGATGTCATGCCCAGGAAGGACCATGGGAACTGGGGATGTAGAACAATCACATCGCCAGGCTTCCAATGAAAATGGGATTCTGCATGGTTCCATTTGATGGATTTACGGGAGAAAAATTATGTTCTTTGAGAATTTTGAGGATAGCAGCTCCTCCATTACATGGGCAGGGCCAGCTTCCCAGGAATCTGCCTCCGTGCCGGGCGAGTAGTTAGCACGCTGGATTAAGGGGCAGGATGGAAGGAAAACATGACGGGCTTCCAGAGAATATCTAATCAGGCCAGGCAGTCAGGCTGGCTGCTGGACAAGGCTGGAGCTGGCCCGGCTGCCTGGCCCTGGAGGTATTCCTTCAGATTAAGGCTTGAGGGCTGGCAGCGCCTTCAGAAAGTAGAGATGAGTGATTACGGGGGGTTTAGGACCTCTCTGCTGCCAGCTTTGCAGTGTTGGCTTGGTGAGATTTTTCAGTTTTCATTTTTCTCCCTTAAATACAGGCTTTTCACAATAAACAAAGGAAATTCTATCACATGCACAAACAGGGTTCTGATGTAGCACGTCAGCCTCCACTGATAAAGACAGGAAACTTGGTGTTGAGAACCGAAGTTGTGTCCTAAACTCACCTCCCTGTGACCAGGGCATCCACCAGGCCCCAAGCTCTCAGGACTCAGAAAAGGAGGCTGATGCTGGGAACTCCATCCGACTCCCCCCACCCCACACACTGTGTGGGCATCAGCTCCTGTCATCAGACTGGCCTAGGCAGGGGGAGTTTTGCCGTGCTGTGTTGGGAACTGGTTTCTGAATAGGTTGGTGTCTTCCTTAAGGCGGGAGAGGGGAGACCATCCTCACAGCACAATGTACACATTGCCCTTCCGTGGCTCTCCCCCATCTGGACTTGCTCCTGTCTGCCAACAACAGCAGCACATGATAGACTTCTTTGCCCTGTACATGGGTCTAAGTTAACTGCACTCTCCCGTTGGTTTCATAGTTTTGTTCTATTGTCTGTGTACCCCAATTACATGTGTTGTTTTTGGGAGGGATTTATCTTAGGTGGTAGAATGTACTCTCATTGTGTCTGCTGTGTACAATCCCAGAGAGGGTCCAATGTGTACAATCCCAGAGGGTCCAATGTGTACAATCCCAGAGGGTCCAATGTGTACAATCCCAGAGGGTCCAATGTGTACAATCCCAGAGGGTCCAATGTGTCCAATCCCAGAGGGTCCAATGTGTACAGTCCCAGAGGGTCTAATGTGTCCAGTCCCAGAGGGTCCAATGTGTCCAATCCCAGAGGGTCCAATGTGTCCAATCCCAGAAGGTCCAATGTGTCCAATCCCAGAGGGCCCAATGTGTACAGTCCCAGAGAGGGCCCAATGTGTACAATCCCAGAGGGTCTAATGTGTCCAATCCCAGAGGGCCCAATGTGTACAGTCCCAGAGAGGGTCCAATGTGTAGAGTCCCAGAGAGGGTCCAATGTGTACTGTCCCAGAGGGTCCAATGTGTCCAATCCCAGAGGGTCCAATGTGTACTATCCCAGAGAGTCCAATGTGTACAGTCCCAGAGGGTCCAATGTGTACTATCCCAGAGGGTCCAATGTGTACAATCCCAGAGGGTCCAATATGTACAATCCCAGAGAAGCCACATGCCCAACTTGAGAGCTTTTTGATAATGAAAATGGTGCTTTGTCATCCATGAAATGAACATGGCCCACACACCAGGGCTGGACACAGCCAGGTGGGTACACATGGAAGAAACAGGGCCTTCCAGCGAAGGAGATAGGAAGCCTGAAAGATGCATGCTTTCGCGGCCTGCCTGTCTCTCATGGTGACACAATGACTGGAGGTCCGACGGCACCTTCTGCATGTGTATCGGGCACTGTGTGGGGGCCAGTCTCTGAGGTGCTGGAGACCCAGAGATGAATAAACCGGGAGACATGGTCAATGCAGTGGGGAAGCAGGCAGGGGACACGATAAAACTACAGCCCGCAGAGCCCAGGTCATCTTCCACTGCCCTTCGGACCGTCTGTTGTCAGGTGAGCCTCCCAGGCTGCACAGACACAGGCTGAGGCGCCTTCAGCTCGAGGCAGGTCTGCCCCTCAGCCTTCTCCGTGGAGCATGGTCTCTGCTCCTGGGTGTCTGTGATCTCCCCCCACAGTCCTTACTCGAGAAGATCCCACACCTTCGAGGGCCATCCGTGCAGTGGCCTGGAGCTGGGGCCAGCTTCGTTTCCTCTGGGCTTCTCCATCTCCGCATGCTGTGTGAACGCTCAGTAAAGAGGCCTGGGGCTGACACAGGGGAGGAGGGGCAGAAGGCAGAAGGGACCTGGGCAAGGAGCGTTCACCGGCAGGCTTTTTGGGAACCTGTCCGCGGAGCCTCTGGACATAGGAAGTTCCTGCGTCTTAAGGTCTGAGGTGGACAAAGCTTTGTGTGGTTTCACTGTCTTGTTTTCCATTCCAGCGGGCAGCTTGTGCAAGCGGAAGACCCCGGAATGTGACAAGGAGACCTCCGTCTGCACGGACCTGGACGGGGTGGCGCTGTGCCAGTGCAAGTCGGGCTACTTCCAGTTCAACAAGATGGACCACTCCTGCCGAGGTGCCTGCGCTTCTCTTTCCAGGCTCTGTGCTCTGTGCGCCATGCTTTTCTCTGCCAGGCCTCCTCCCACTCGGTGGCCTGCTCTAGGCTGGGGGTAACCAGCCCTTGTTGTTTGGCGCGCAGCAGGGTGGAATACATTACCTCCTTGGAATAGCAGCATTATCTCTGACCCTGCGCTGGCCTCGCCCCTGGATTCAAAGGGAAAGTAAAGAGAATGGAATGCCTGTGGCCGGCAACGCCTTTTCTTTTTTCTTTCCACTTTAAGGAAGTTAGAAAAATTATTGTTTTAATTCCCAAAGCTTTATTCTATTGTCCGCTAATCTTTTAAAATGGGGATACAAGCGTGGAGTCAGGCTGTACCTTTTAGCAGCAGCTGTGGCCCAAGTGGGTCAGAGCCCACCTTTGCTGGACCTCAGTTTCCTCTTCTGTGACATGGGTGTAGTGACACTTCATTGATCGTCTAAGAATTAAAGAGGGCAACATATACATACGGTGGTACTGTGGAAGCCATCCACGTTGCTCTTGTATTTTACCCAGGTGGCTGTTGTTGAACAGTGAGCCTTAGTTTTTAAAGGTTTCATAAAGTATTTAAGGACAGAAAGCTAATCCCGCAAACCTTTTAGGTGAGGCTTAAGTTCATGTAGTTTGAGATCAGAGGCTGCTCGGTGAGTGTAGGGTGGAGCCCAGGCCCAGAGTGCGGAGTACCCTGACGCTGAAGGACTGCCGCAGCCAACACTGGCTGGTGACAGGTGTCCTGGAATCAGAGTCAAATCGCATATTTGCGAAAAGTGGCGTGCCCCTTACAGCTGTCAGGACCGCCGCTGGAGGACTCATTCTGTCGGGAGAGGATACAAATACATTTGAGGGCAGCGCGCTCGTCCTGAGCATGAGATCCGGGGGCTTAGGTTCATGGACGTCCTCCGCTCTGCACGCAGGCCCAGCGGTGGACGCTGAGAAGAGGGCCAGTGCTCCGTGATGGGCAGCTTCCCCGTGTTCCTCAGCACGTCAGGCTGCCGCCCTCATACAAAGAGATGTCACTTCCTAATTCCGTCTTATCTGGGTTAATGCCGAATGTTCCTCGCCCTTCTTAGACACTGAGCCTTGTGGGAAGGTGACCTCTGCTAAAACCCATCCGCTGGGGCAGCGTGGCTGTCGGGAGGGAGAGGGAAGTGGGCAGAGGTGCAGGCATCTAGAGTGCCGGCCCCGTATGCCGCGCCGCTGGAGCGTCTGGTGGCCACTTCTGCCCCTGGCTGGCCCGGGCCACTTCCGCTCTGCTTCCGAGTCAGCAGTTTCCTATTTGTGTCGCCTGCAGACGAGCATTAGTGATGGCATAGCTGTTAGAGGTTTTCCAATGCAATGACACAGGCCCCGGCGATCTGTGTTTATCCAGGGATGACCCAAGAAGCAGCAAAAAGAACCCGTGGTTAGCTTGTGGGCTTGCTGCGAGGGCCTCTGCAGCCTCGTTTCTGCAGTTAGATTTTCGTCTGTAGCCGTCAGGCCTTTGATGAGTACAGGAGGGGTCTCCTTGGTCAAAGCCCTGTCTGCGGGGTTCTGATGGGTCAGCAGTGACATCTTCTGGCCACTGGTGCTGCAGCACAGAGGTATTTAGAGTGAGTCCCCTTTGGACACCGCAAATCAGGGGTCAGCCCCCTGTATAAATGGGAGATAGAGGTGCGGGTGTGTTTTCTAAATCTCTGCAGTTCATATTTGTACAGAAGCATAGCTGCATTGTTCTCTGTCATCTGTTTAAACCATCTCTAATTCTCTCACAGCAGTGCCCACCCCCCCCACCCCCACACACACACACTTAGTGTCTCACATGCCTTTACAGTGCCTTTACCAGACTTTAACTGTCCGTAAGATTAAACTAGGCGACCTT